TTATTTTGAGAGAGACAGAGAGGGAGTGCAAGCAGGGGAGGGGCAGAGAGAGAGGGGGACAGAGGATCTGATGCGAGCTCTGTGCTGACAGCAGAGAGCCTGACACGGGGCTCAAACCCACGAACCGGGAGATCATGACCTGAGCCGAAGTCAGCTTAACTGGTGGAGCTACCCAGGCGCCCCCTGGCTTTAAAACAGGCATCAGGGGGCCACTACCTAAACCCACAGATCACACAGCATCACAGCCAGAGAGGAGACGCCTGAAATCATGCCTCCCAATGTGATGCAATTCGACTACACAGTGTCACCTCTGAAATATCCTAGCCTCAAATGGATAGCCTGAATCCGATCAAGCCTTTAGATCTAATTTCCAGTTTACAAGAAACTCAGGAATAGAGGAACAATACTGAGGCCGTCCGTAGAAAGCAAAGAGACATCTGGATGGGGGGACATTCTATAGGACGACTGACCCAGGATTGTCATTATAGTGCTATGAAAATTAAGTGAGGAAGGAACTGTTCTGGATTAAAGAAACTAAAGACAAAAGAAGCATTGTAAAGCATGGACCTTAACTGGATCCTGGTTTGTACAAACCACCTGTAAAAAAGATATTCTCGGGGAAGGCGAGGAAATGAGAATTAGATTCAGATATTCGATGATATTAGTAAGTTATTCTGGTTTTGTTAGGTGATATAGGACATATACTGATTTTAAGAGATGCAGACTAAAGGGTTAAGGATAAAATAACATGATCTCTGTCATTTAAATCACTTTAGCAAAAAATAGGGGAAAAAAAAAAAACAAAAAACCCTGGTTATGGCAACGTGTTAACAATAGTTAATCCAGGTGACGGATATGTGGCTTTCATTATACAGTGTGTCCTACCATTTTCATACATTTGCAATTCTTCATAATGAAAAATAAATCAAAACATTTCTTGGGGCACCTGGGTGGCTCAGTCAGTTAAGCGTCCGACTTTGGCTCAGAGCACGATCTCGCCGTTCGTGGGTTCGAGCCCCGCGTTGGGTTCTGTGCTGACAGCTCAGAGCCTGGAGCCTGCTTCAGGGTCTGTGTCTCCCTCTCTCTCTCTCTGCCCCTCCCCTGCTTGTGCTCTGTCTCTGTCTCTCAAAAAACGAATAAACATTCAAAACACAAAAACAAATAAAAAAACATTTTTTGATATCTAGCTTCATTACAGCAATTTTGACTTTGAAACAGTTTACAGCCACAGTTCAACCAAAGAAATGATCATGTAGTCCCTCTAATCCCTCTCTTCAAGGCAAGAAGGTGAGGTCTGGCTGGATCCCATGGCCCATTTTAGGGTGAATTCCCATGAAAAACCTCATCTTCGGTTTCCTCTTACCATGCTTCTTAACTGCACATAATCTTTTCAAATCATCCCGTGAAGTCAGAGGATGGGTGTTATTAAGATTCCCATTTCACAAATGAGGAAACTGAGGCACAGAGAGGCTAAGTAAGGGTCCAAGATTTAAGCAGGCAGACTTCTAACTCCACCCTGGGTCCCGAGCAGACGCCCACAGACCCCTGCCTGCCACGGCTCCACCCCAGCCAGCCCCACTTCTGGGTGCAGGTACCAGCTTCGTTGACCACAGGCAGCGCAGACACGCGCCGGTCCACAAAGATGTCCAGGGCCGTCAGGATGGGCGCCGTGTCCAGCACCACGGCCAAGTCTCGGAATGTGCCGATGCCCAGATCTTGGATGGTGCGGGAGAGGAAGGAGGGCTGGGGCAGCAGGGAGCCCTGGGTGGGTTGGGGACAGGTGGCAGTCAAGGTGGAGCAGCCCCCAGAGTGCTCCCAGCGGCTCCCTCCCCGGTCTGCTGGGCCAATGACTTCTCAGCCCCTCGGGTCACCCTGAGGCTGTGCCCAGGCTCACAAAGATGTGCAGGAACTTGAGCAGTCGCTTGTGTGTGAGGATGTGGAGCACGGCGCCTGAGACCGGGTCCAGGACCGGCAGACGGTGGATCCGGTTCTTGATGAGGGTGTAGACGGCTTCGAACAGGCTGCAGAGGTGGGAGCAGTGGGTCTGGGGGAGACACAACCCCCACCCCAGCCCCTGCAGAAGGACAGCATGTCCAGACTGCCTTGTCTGCCACGGGATGAGCCCCTGAGGTCAGAACTGAGGGGCTGACCTGGAAGGGGACTGCTCAGGCAAGGAGGCTCAGGTGGGTGGCTGGGGACGCTTACCTACTGCTGGGAGAAATGGAGACCAGAGGCTTGAAGCAGCCTTGAAGGTAGATCTCTGTAGGAAAAAGCCAAAGTCAGGCCTGAGGAGCTGGCCACCCTGCCTCACTGGGCAGCCCCTCTGTCTTTCTCCCTCAGGCCCTCTGGGCTCCCTCTCACCCTTCCCCTGCGCCCTTCAAGAAATCCCCACTGCCCATCCTCCACCTCGGGTCCTTGGCCCCATGCTCACCCACACACCCTCAGCCCCTTCCAGGTCCCTTCTGCCAGCTCACCTCTCCAGGTCTCAATCTTATGTTCTTCAATCTCATAGATCTGGACCTAGAGACGTTGACAGGACTCCGGAAGTCAGACACGGGCCCCTCGGGCACCAGGCTCCCTGAGCCACCCTCCGCCCCAGCCCAGATGGGAGCCCCTGGGGTCCCCAGCCCACTCCTCACCAGCGGGGACCTGTAATAGCGATGCAGCACCAAGATGAAGTCTGTGATGGTCAGCATCCCTGCGGGGTTAGGAGGGAAGGGCAGGGGGTCAGCCTGGGGCCTCGTGGTGGGAGGCAGGTTGAGGGGTCAGACCCCCTTCCGGGCTCTGCCAGAGTCCTAGGTCTGAGACAGCTGTGGGAACTGTGGACAGAGGGAAGCGGGGCAGCCCCTCCCCCGCCTTTTGTGCTTCCCCTGTAATTTCTCTCCCCGCCCCCGCTGCACCCTTTTCTATTCTCCTAATTCCTTCCTCTCCCTTTCCTCTTTTCTCTCCTAGCACCTACGACACGGGACCATGGGTGAGTAGAGCTGGAGTGGTCAGCTGGTCAAACCTCCTCCACTCATGGGGTCTCCCAGCTGGCCACCACGAGGCCGGGATCGTATGTCCCCCACGCCAGCCCCCGGCTTGGCTCACGCCAAGGGTCTGCCCGAACCCGTGGCGTGTCGGAGCTCAGCCCCGGAATCCCCTCGAAGATCTCTCTCTTCCCTCTGCCTCCCAGCCCCTCCTCACCCACGAAGCTCTGCTTCTTGCTGTCCCACAGCGGTGCCGCCCGGATGCCGTTGGCCACTAGGGCAAAGAAGGCCTTCTTGATCTGAGGGCCAGAGAGAACACCGAGGGGTGAGTCTCTCACTGCCCATCAGTGGTACCCTGTCCCAACCAGGGTCCTCCCCCGGGGCCTTCTCCCGAGATCTCCTCTGCATGAGCTTGACTGCCCATCCTAGGCCATGGCACACACTGGCACGCTCTTTGCCAGGCACAATTGCTGCAGAGATGAGGCTGCTGGTGGCCGGAGGCACTGTGGTGACGCCTTCGCCTGGCACATCAGGGTGTGACATGCGTACAGTCACACACAGTATAGTTTTTGCTAATCTACGTGCCGGAGGTACGCTTATTCGCGTAGCATCTGCAAAATAGATTTCTCTAAATAAATTTGACGTTGACTCATTTGGCTTCACCCTAAGTAATACTATCGCCGTGCTTCTGGAAACACTGTTCATGCATGGTATGAGTAGACAGCAGGCAAAAGGGAAGTAGGGGCTCTTTTTTTAATTTTTTTTTCAAGTTATTTATAGCTTTTTTGGGAGCTTGGGGGAGGGAGACAGGAAGCGCTTAAACAGGGAGGTGTGCAGGAGGGAGACAGAATGACCCCGTGAAAGAAGCCCTGTGGGCCTGAGTCAACAAAGCCTGGGAGCTCACGGGGCACTGCTCTAACCCCTGAGTCCCTGGAGACCAGTGGACCGTGGAAAGTGTTTAGTTTGAACCACTCCAGCCAACCAGGCTCTGAAGAGAAAGGTGGCTGCCTATAGCTTAGCCCAAGGGAAGGGCAGGGGCTAGAACCCATCCTATTTTTCTCTTACTGAGAGCTCCCTGCTGTTTGTCCTAAGCCAGCCTGCAAGGTCTTCCCCATACTTAGGGGTTCACAAAGTGCTCCCACTTGACCCGGGTTATTCCAGGAGTCCTCTGAAACTTGGAGGGCAAAGCAGGCATTTCCTGTCCCCACTTTATGTCATTTTTTACTTTATTTATTTTTTTAGTAATCTCTACACCCAACACGGGGCTCAAACTTATGACCCCAAGATCAAGAGCTGTATACTCTTCTGACTGAACCAGCCAGGGGCCCCCATTCCCATTTTAGAGATGAGAGCGGTGACTGATGCCAAAGCCTACACATACTCAATGGCAGAGCTGGGATGACAACTGGGGAGGAGGGGTCCTCCCCAGCACTGGTCTCCATGGTGCTAAGAAGGAGCTCTGGAAAGGGACTCGCGGGGGGGGCCCTGGAGCGGGTGAGTGGAGGCTACAGCCCCATGAGAACAGAGGTGGGGCAGAGCCACGGCCTCACCTCCAGCGTGGTGTCGAAGATGACCAGCTTGGAACTGGTTGCCATGGCGTCGTAGCAGGTGTGCTCCTGCATGAAGTGCATGTAGATCTGGGCCCCCGGCTTCTGCAGTTCGTCGTCCCAGCCCAGCCTGGGTAACAGGGCCCGTGGGGACGGGCACAGGGCAGGCCTCTCTTCCACCAGGCCGAGCTCATACCCCCACGATGCTGTGGCCGGGAACCCTATGTCCAGCTCCAGCTCATCTGTGCTGGAGCCAGCGGCCGAGGCTTCGTGGTTAGGGGGGAAGATGTCCCACTCTGTTGGTGGGGCGCCCACTTTGGCCAAAGGAGCAGCCTGGGACACGTGTGTGGCCTTGGGGGACGTGGCCTCCAGTCCGGCGTACTCAGCAGGTGGCTTGGCCTGGGGATCTGTTGGTGGGGAGAGGACAGTAAATCCGTCTTCTAGAGACCTTTCTCATCCGCTGGCTCTGTTCATCCTCACAGCAGCCTTGGGAAGCCTGGGTGCTGTGGCCCCATTTTGCAGGTGAGAAAGCTGAGTCTCAGAGTCACACAAGACAGTGGCCCTGTCCTGAGTTGGCCGCGCCAGGCCCCTGGCTCTGCTGTGCAGGTGACTTTTCCCATGTGAAGAGACAGACTACAAGATGAGGGCTGGGGCCAACTCTGTGCTCTGGAAGGATCCAGAGCTGAGCCCCAGCCCCAGGCTCCGGGATGTCCCACTGCCCCCGCTCCCATCTCCCCAGAACTGGCCTTGGCCTCACCTTCCCCCAGACCCGGCAGCTCCCCTTCCGCCACAGCCTCCTGCCTTGTCCACCTGGAGGCCTTGGCCCCCTGTTTCTCATGGCTTCTTTCTGAGCCTGCGGTCATGGCCGGCGATGGCCATGAAGTGTTCTCTCCTTGTTCTAGACAGCTCATCTCTGGAAGGGGGAATGGGGCCTGTTTGGTTAATGGGGAGTAACACAACAAAATCAATTAAAATGTTATTAATAATAATATTTCACATTTGCAAGCTTCCCAAGGGTTCTCCTCCAATATATTTCTCACTCAAACCTCATAGCAATCTTATAAGGGAGATGTTATTATCATCCTTATTTTACTAAAGCGGGACCTGAGATCAGAGAGGTGGGGCAATTCACCACAATTCACACAGCTATTTACTAAGTGCTAACAGAACTAGGTTCGGAGTCTTCCGACTCCCCCTACTTCCTCTGAAAGAGGAATGAGGGGGTGAGGGAAAAAAGAAACAGAGGAACAAAGAAGGAAAAGGAGAGACAGAGAGAAAAGCCAGGCTAGCAGAGTGGAGACTGGGGGCCCAGAGAGGAGGGAGACAAACGAAGTAGGAGGAGAGGCTACGCCCTTGAGAAGGCAGCCCCGCCTACCTTGACGCTCAGGTCCCCCAAGGCTGCTCCAGGATGGGTTCTGTGAGGAGAAGAATGTCTGAAGGGGTGGGGAAACGCCCTGCATCCCCGAACCCACGGGTAGCTTCCTTTCCCACCACGTGTGCGCGTGCAAGCACGCACACGCATGCACGCACAGGTGCACCCCCGCAAACACACCCATACACCAACACTTAGACACACTCGGAAAAACACATCCAACCATTCCCAGGCATGCAGGGCACCACATACGTCGCTGACACAAAGAACACACACACGCGCGCGTACACGTGTTCACAGGCACCCACAGGCTCATGCGCACACGCACACACACTCATTCACACTCGTTCACAGGGTGTGGTGTGTTCGCAATCCCCTGGCCTCGGCTGCCCCAGCTCCCGTCCCCCGGGACCCCTGTACCCGGCGCAGTGCGTGCTCCATGCGGCCAACCCCGGACCAACCGAGAGCAAGTGCGCAACACAGGCTGGGCAGCACTATTCTGGGCCCGGCCCCTGGCGCCCTGCCCTCCCCGGATCGGTTTCTCTCTGATTGGGTGTCAGGCAGCGGGAGGGAGGGCTCCTCGGGCTCAGCTGCTCTCGCCCAGCCGCCTGGGGCAGGGTGGGGAGGGAAGGGGCGCACCTGGAATCTGGAGGCCTGGGCCCGGGCTCCCTCCTGGGTCTCCAAGGACAAGCTCGAAGGACTTTGCGATGGAGGGAGGTGGCTTGGAGCGCTGCGGGGGCGCCAGGTGGGAGGAAGTGGGCTCTCAGAGTCCTGGGTTCCTTCTCATCGTTGTCAGGCGCCAAAGGAGGGAAAATGGACGCAGGTAGAGCTTGACTGTCTTCCTTGTACACACTTCAGTCGTGGGAGGTGCTGAAGTCAGAAAGGGCAAGTTGGAGCCAGCAGGGAGGCTGGGGACAAGGGGTTTGTGGGCGGTCGCGGGAGAGCGGGCATTGTATGCCCAGATGTCCTCATTTGAGTCCCAGGAGCCTGTCCCTCTCTCTGCTGGGGGAGCTGGAGTGGGATGGGCGGGGCAGGTGGGGAGCTAGAATCACCGTGAAGGTGTGCGGTGGGCTGGAGGGCCCAGAGTGAGAGACCTCTGTTTCTACCAGTGGTTTGGAGGTGGGTCCCGGTGTGTGGGAGCCCCCGTCCCAACATCCCTCTGTGCCCGCTGTCCCTACATCTCCGGGTGCCAACAGGATCCCAGCCCGGCTCTGGTGGCTGCCCACCCCCCTTCCTTGGCATTCCTGGGGCCTGAGTCAGCGTCCAAATCGGGAATGCTGACCCAGCTGCCCTAGCTCCCCTCTCTCTGCCCCTCCTTCCAGCCTCTTCCATCCCAGTCTCTGGCCCTGGAGTGGACACTCAGTAATGGGTTACTGGATTTTTTGCTGAATGTATTGAACACATTTCTCATCACCCCTCAAAGCCCCTGCACTGCCTACAGGGAGGGTGGAAGAGAACAGATCGGGGAAGGGACTCTGCCTTTCCATGTGTCTTACGTAGTACCAGGGGTGAGCACAGCTCTTCTTCGGCGGGATGTTCTTGTCTTGTCCCAGCTGATGGAACGTCTAAGGTACAGCTAGTGGGACACTTCACCTGGTGGAAAGGTCAAGTGGACCATCTTTGGAGATATGTGATGTGTCTACCTCCCCCACCCTTAAGCTCTGGGCCACCTTCACAAGCAGGCCAGATACAGAACAGGTGCAGCTCACACCACTGCCTTCTCCTGCCATACTCCATTCTCCCCTCTGCCTCAGGCCTGTTCCACCTGCAGGGCCAGTAGGAGCGCCTCTTCTTCAAGAAAGTCTTTCCGGGGGGGTCTGGGGGGCTCAGTTGGTTAAGTATCTGACTCTTGATTTCTGCTCAGGTCATGATCTCATGGTTTGTTAGTTCAAGCTCTGCATAAGGCTCCCCGCTGACAGTGAGGAGCCTACTTGGGATTCTCCCTCTCCCCTCCCCCTTTCTGCCCCCACCTCAAAATAAATAAATAAGCTTAAAAATGGTTAAAAAAAAGAAAAGTCTTCCCTGATGGCATCATTGTCCCTTGCACTGGTGTCCTTATAGCTCAGGATCTGTGTGCATATCTCAGTGTGCACGGAGTGGACATTTACGTAACTATTCACGTGTGAATATCCTTTATCTCCAAGTAAACAGTGGGCACTTTGATAACCAAAATATGTTGGCTGCGTGTCATGGAAGGCGTGTTTTATGGTCAGACGGACCTGATTAAAATTCACACTCTGCTGTTAGTTTGCCACATGACCTTAAAAAGCACTGCTTGTTTTCTCCGAGGCTGATTCTACCGATGTTAAATAAGGATGGAAACATTCTGGGGCAAACTGCCAGTCGCCTCCCAATATCTATTTTTCTCTTCTTATTTTAGTAGTAGAATCACTTGAATTTCAGCTGAAGCGGCTGCATATAATAAATACTCAGATTCCCAATCTTCTAATCGAAGCCAAATGAGGCCTTGTGACTAAATTTGACCAAAGGGATGTGAGTGGAGGGGATGTGGGCAACTTCCAGGTCAGGCCTTCAACAAAAGAGGGCTGGGTTCTCCTTTTCCTTTTCCCCTTCTGCTGGCTGGAATGCTCCTGCGATGGCAGGAGCTAGAGCAGCTATCTTGCACCCAAAATGGAAGATGCTTGTTAAGGGTTTCAAAGTCACCCTACCAGCTGTAGACCATCTTACAGACTATGATATGAGAGAGAAATAAATTTTCCTATTTAAGTCATTCTTAAGTCGTGTCTTTGGTAAAGCAACCAAACAGGCATCCTAAGGAATGCAGAATTTGGCGTCTGTAAGTGGCACTGCTCTAACAGTCTAAAACAAGTGGCGTTGGTTTAAAGACTGGGTAGCAGATAGCAAAGAAAAGTATTGTTTGCTGGTAAGGTGGTGACCATTGTTATGTGACAGCAAACCCTGTGGTGTGGCAGTCATCTGTAATGCTTTGGAAGGTCAATCACGTGCTAACAGAGCCTATAAGTCACAGAAACTGGATGGAAACAAGACTGTTGGTGAGTATTGGCAGTCGTTGGCTATTGTCAACGAAGACCTACAAGAGGGATGAGCTCAGGCTAGTTGTAAGAGGTGGTTCGGAGGAGGCAGACTTAACAAAGGTTGTGCCGGGAGTTCCAAACCTCTCTCAAGCACTCTGTTCAGCAAACAGTGGGAGCTGGCCTCGTAGGCAGAACAAGGGAGGCCCTCTTTACAGCCAGACATCTTTTTTTCAGATGACCTCAAGAGAGCCACCAGCAGTTTGAGAGAGAATAGAAAGTATACCACAGAAATTGTGTCTCTATGAGAGCATTGGCTGTGGTTACTCAAATATGGAACCAGTCAGAAGGCTTTTAAGATTTCGAGGCTGTTGCATTGGCCGAGAAACGATAAGCTTGGTCACCAAAAGCTGGTTTGACCCCCCCCCTGTGACCCCCAGCCCCCCTCAGACCTGCGCCAGCAGGAAGAGGTCTGTGGAAGCTGTAAGGTCTGCAGAGACATGTTTTCCAGTGCAGCCGTGGAGGGTGCTGTGTAAGGGAGAACTTCCCAGGATGCAGCACCGGAGGCCACACAGGACAAGAGAAAGGGGAGGTCTTCTCAGAGAGCAGAACGAGTGGCAGCCAGTTGCATTGCCCAAGAACTTACTCCTCTGTGGGGGGAGCTGCTTTGCAATTCCAGCCCAACTAGATTTGGTAATTGATAAGATCCGGGGACTCCTGTTCTGAGGGGATGTTTTAATTGGGTTTATCCTGTTCCTCCTCCGCTGTTGTCTGTGGGGAGTGGGAGGAGCAGATTACTTGCCTTTTAGTTTACAAGTCACGGGACCATGGGATCCCATCCACGCCTCATTTTTCAGAGCTGGTGTGGTGCCCGGATGCCTCCCTTCGAAGGCTGCTGAATGTGTTCTCTGCTCAGGGTGGCCAGATGGTGGGCTCTGGCAGAGCAATATCTATTCTCTCCTTCTTTTTCCTCTATGAGTGATCCCCACAATTTTAGCTAAGTGTAATGTTATATTTCCCAGCTTCCTTTGCAGATAGTATGGCCGCGTTACAAAGCTTGGCTAGGGGATCTGAGCATCAGCATTGTATGCAAACTTTCAGAATGACCTTAGAAAGAAGGGGCAGATTTTCTCCTTCCTATTGACTGGAATTCTGATAAGAAGGTCAGAGCTGGAGCAGCTATTTGAACCCCATGGTGGAAGATGCAGGTTGGAAATGGTAGAACCTCTCCCATCCCCGTGCGACCTTCCTCTGGACTGTTATGTTATAAAAAGAAATTAACTTCCGTCTTGCTTAAACCACTGACATGTCAAACCTTTGCTACAGCAACCAAGCCTCTCCCTAGCTAATGCATTACACTGCAGGATCAGGGTAGGGTTAGAAATTCCAATATATATAATGATCCTTCACAATTACGCAGCAAACCACGTTGGGCGCTGTATCTCTTGTAATCGCTCGCAACCCTGTGTGGTAAATATTATTATGTATTTTTACTTAAGTGGTAAATATTTAATATCTATGAATGTTGTTATATACTCCTTATTAAAATTCTACAAATGAGAGGGGCTGCTGGGTGGCTCAGCCGGTTGAGCATCCAAATTTGGCTCAGGTTGTGATCTCACGGTTCGTGGGTTCGAGCCCCTGTGTCAGGCTCTCTGCTGTTGTCATGGAGCCCGCTTCGGATCCTCTGTCTCCCTCTCTCTCTCTCTCTCTCTCTCTTCCTCCCCTGCTCATGCTCTGTCTCTGTCTCTCTCTCTCTCTCTCTCAAAAATAAATAAACATTAAAAGAAAGAAAGTTTTTACAAAAAAATTTACAGATGGGGAAAATTGAGACATAAGGAGGTTAACTTGATCGAAACCTCAAAGCAGGTGAGATGGAGCTGAGAGTCAAAGTCAAAACCAGTGTTTCTGGGCTCTGGCCCCACACTCTTAAGCACCAAGTTTACTGTAAATAAAGCACAAGCCTGTCATGTAATAGATGCTCAGTAAGTGGTTACTATAATTATTGCCTCGCCACCTGCTTTCAGTCCCCCTAGACCTCCGGCTACAAGGCTCTGAAGGCAGGCAGGCACGGGGCGCTCTGACCATCACCATGGGATGGTGTCATCAAGGATGGCACGGAGGAGGGCTTCAGCTGGGGCAGACCCAGCACTGCTCGACACTACAACCGTAGCGATCTTCCAGTTGAAAAAAAAAAAAAGAGCTCCCTGCCCTGCCTTGCCCTGACCCTGCCCTTTGCCTCTCAGAGCTCCCACACCTGCTCCTGTGGCCAGGCGAGCCCTACCCATTATCATTGGCAGGACGAATCAGCAGAAGATACTGGCTTTGGCTGGGAAATAAATACTCCTTGGATGTTTGCTTTTAGTCTCTGGTCATGGTATCATATTTCTTGAAACCCTATTTCTTGGTTCGCTCTCAAAACTGGGTGTAATAAGGACTTGCACCCTGACCCTAGGGTGAATTTGGCTGCCATATCTGGATAGCTGATTTGCCTGGGACATGGGGTCGGGATCCTGTTTAAGCGTTATTTTTATATCAGAGGGAGAAAAACAGCTTGAGGAGGCCAAGGGGAGTAGCCTGATGAATTACAAATGGGGTCCGCTGTGCCAGAGTGGTTGGGAGGCTGTGAGAGCACCCTTCATGTCCGTCATCCAAGTGTTCCGGCTCTCGTCCTATCTGTATGTGGCTGAAATCTATGTCAATGTTCCAGAGACCTAGTGAGAACCAGCACCTAGTTAATGCAGTTTATTCTGCCTCAAAGGCCTCATTGCTGAGCTTTTTTTCTGTGAGCTGTTGGGGACTGAAGTGGACAGATGGTGCTTTTGTCCACTCAGTATCCACTTACCCCTCTTTTGGCAACCCCCCAAGTTCTCCTTCAGGGAACCACAATTTCTCCAATCTCAAAACACATGGTTTGCAGAGGGGCTTAACTGTGAGCTCCAGGAGGTATACCTCTGATTCAAACTTGGCCAATCAGCACATCACATTCCCCTAGCCACAGCGAAAGAAGTGTTGATCGAACTAGTTCCGATACGGGTGAATCTTGGGACTTTTGTTAGAGTGAATAGGAGCACTTTCCCACTGGATTTGGAGCTGTGAGGATGTGAATGTGAAGATTTTGCTACCATGCAGACTATAACTGCCTGAGAATGAAGGGAAAATGAAGGGCGAAAGAACTGTGACATGATGAGAAAGACCAAGTCCTCCCGATAATTACTGAACCCCTGGATCAAGCTATACCTGAAGACCTACCACTGGGTTTTTCAGTTACGTTAACCAGTAGAATCTTTTTTTTAAGGCAGTTTAAATTGAGCCTTCTGTTACCTGTAGCTGAAAGATTTCTGACACCAGAGTTAACAAAGAAACAATATCTCTATACTTTCAAAGGCTTCTGGGGATGATCTTCAGTCACTGAACTTTCCCAAGAAAAACTGCACATTTGAAAAAGCTATTAGAGCAAATCAATAGGGTAAAAAGGTACTTGGAGAAAATACAGTGAAGGAAGAATTGGAATGGGACAGGTTAATGATTAGTGAAAGAAGGTTTCCTACAGAAGGTGAGTTTGGATACAGAAATAATAATGATAACAACAGCAACTATTTACTGAGCCCTAACTATGTGTTTGACACCAGGCTAAGCAGTTTACACATGTGGCAGAACAATATGTTGAAATAGTAGCCCAATCGAGGGGTGCTTTCTTCTACGCTGTAGCCCTTTTCTCCCTCAAACATGGAGTTTCCTTATTTATTGCTTCAGGGAATAAATGATACAGTGCAAAGAAAAGCATCCTCTGGCTTTTAAGTTTCAAAAGTGAAGTCTTCTGGGAGGAAAGGGAATACCGTTGGCTTAAACAAAAGATTTGGGAGTTTTGGCAGGCTAACTTACTCAGAAAATATATCCCACTAAAAGCAACTAAAATTGCTGGATAAAATATAAAGGGCATCTTCCTAAAAGCCCTGAAAAGACAAGATAGTAAAGAACTTCCTAGGCTCAACTGAAATGAAAATGGGCACACCACAGAGTTAGTGAAAAGAGACGTGGCTCTGCTCTAGGGCATCTGACAATTCTAGCAAGAGCCATCCATGTAATGGGGGCCCAGGACGCACACAAGCTGGGAGTATGAAAAATTGGGATCTATAAAAAAAACTGGGATCTCAAAGGACCACACCCTCAGAGTAAGTGTAATCCAGAAGCAAACTAGCTCTTACAGAAATATACAGACAAGGGTTTCCTCATCTGAGTGGTTCAGAGAGTGTCAAACCTTGAACTTGGTTTAAGGTGGTACTAAATAAGTCATGACTCCAGCTGCCTGGAGGAAGCAAACACAAATGCCCTCTGGACAAAGCTTCTTCAAAGCAACAAATGATTCCAACAATATCCAGCACATAGTTGAAAATAACGAGACACGGTAAGAATTGTGAGTAAGAGCCAGCAGAAAAGACAGAGCAGGAATAAACCCATAAAAATTTCAGAAACTGGAATTATCAGACACATCATATTTTGACAACATGCTTATTACGTTTAATGAAATACGAGACCGTTTGAAAAAGTACGGAGCAAATAGGAAACTAAGAAAAACAGCATAATGGATTCTTTTGTTTTTGTTTTTGTGGGTTTTTTTTTCATTCAGAAAATGCTTATTTATTTTGAGAGAGAGAGAGGGAGGGAGGGTCAGAGAGAGAAGGAGAGAGAGAATCCCAAGTAGGCTCAACACCATCAGCACAGAGCCCCATGTGGGGCTCAAACTCACGAACTGTGAGATTATGATCTGAGCTGAAATCAAGAGCCAGGCACCCAACCCACTGAGCCACCCAGGCAGCCTTCATTTTTTTTAAGATTTGATTTTTAAGTAATCTCTGCACCCAACATGGGGCTCGAACTCACAACCCTGAGATCAAAAGTCGCACGCTCTATCAGCTGAGCCAGCCAGGTGCTCCCAGACTTTTTGAAAAAGCAAACAGAACTTCTGGAAATGAAAAAGACATAAGTGAAAGTAAAAAATAAATGAACTTAACAACAGATTAAGTGCAGCTGAAGAGAAAACTGAATGTAAGATCAAAAGATGTTGCCTAGAGTATAATAATACAGAAAGTAAAAAAAACTAAAATGCATATGAAAGAGAGTAAGAAACATAGAGGTTAAAGCAGAAAAGCGCATTTAAATGGAGTCTCAGAAGGAGAGTGGAGAGAGAAAGGGGTACAAGTACTATTTGAAGAGATTGCTTGATGTGTTCTGGAACTGATATATAATAACAATCCCCAGATTCAAGAAGCCTATGCATCCCCAGGAGGATACATGAAAGAAACTCACACATAGAAACATCATAGTGAAAATCGCAGAAAACCAAAGGCAAAAAAAAAAAAAAAAAAAAAAAAAAAAAAAAGATTACAATTGAGCCTTGAACACATGGGGTGAGGGGCTTTGACTTCCTGTGCAGTTGAAAATCCGAGTGTAACTTTTGACTGCTCCAAAAGTTAACTAATACCCTCCTGTTGACTGGAAGCCTTACCAATAACACAAACAGCCAATTAA